GTGCGCGTGCGTGCGTGCGTGCGTGCGTGCGTGCGTGGGTGTGGGTGTGGCTGTGGCTGTGTGTTTATACAAGCTACACCAGTACAGTCATATATCACGTGAACCACAGAAGTGATACTGAGACGTGCGTGAGTGTGTGTGTGTGTGTTTAGTCACCTGTCATTTCCCATCATGACACTCGTGCTGTTCCAAAACCTAGGGAACTGAAATGTACCCTTATAAGTGACTGATTTGTGACGGGAGACTCGACTCACATGTAATTTCAGAAGATTTTAGTAGCGGTGTGATACTAGTCTAAAAATCCATAGCACACACAGATATTTCACTACTTTTTGAGATTGAATTAATTGTATTTATAATCAGCATTTCTTTTGCTTTGTCTGACATCTTGAAGTGATTTGATCACATTGCATTCTGTTTATAAAGAAATGTGTCTTTCGTGTCTGGACACCAGTTTTTATGTACTACATTTTTTCTATTATTTTATTTATTTATTATTTCATTTTTATTATTCTGTTATTTATGAAGTATTACACTCTTGTTTATATTATTTTATTTTGATTGGTACATTTTATTTTATTTTGATCGGTAAATTTCAGGATTCAATTATTCGTATTTATAATCAACAGCATTCCAAGATTTGTTTTTAATTAGCCATTAACTAGTCCCAAAGAGCAGTGATCAAATTAAACTAAACTAAACTAAACTAAAAATGCAATTATATATATTCAATGAATTATTGAATTATTCATATTTATAATGAACATTTCTTTTGCTTTATCTGCTATTCAATTGATTTTGTCACAATGCATTCTGGGATTGTAATAGATAAAAACAAAGAATTAACAGCCTTCAGATATGATGCCTTAAAATACTGCCATATAATATAGTCATCTAAGTCGGTTTTGGAGCAGAGCGAGTCACGTTCCTGTGGTCAGTGTTCACAGTGTCACATGATCATTCATAAAGAAAATCATAAGTAAAATGTATCACTTGATTGAGACGATACTGTGTTTTTTCTAATGAAATTTACTAGACGGCATGTAATTACAGCGCGATGGGTTTTCTGTCACTCCAGATAATTTCATTAAACCTTAAGCAGTTTCACCGCGCATGTCGCTGAATTTGACTGGACAGACATGTCGGATTCTGTCCACGCCGAGAATAAATATTAAAAGCTTTTCCACAAGTTGAAATGGCTGTGACAACATTAAACCTTTGGCTACAAACAAGGAGAGAGCAGTAGTGTCATTTGTTTTCAGGTTTATGTTATTTGACAAGTACGGTAGCCACAAAAAGACACCAGCGCTACACTTAATGACATATTTTGTTACCTAATGCAATGAAATTATCAAAGCAAGTCTGTATCTGTGCTGAAATGCTGAGCTTTTCTCTTCACTAACTTTTAAACTAACGTAATTTCTGCTCAGTCTCTTTTAAATGATGGATGAAGTCATTTCTTCTCAGGTTCACGTGATTCACAAGCTAAAAGTGGCACAACACTTTTGACTTCATTTTCAACACTTGAAAAGCAGCTATGAGATGAATAGTGTATAATTATGTTTTATTTCTCTCTCTTTCTCTGATAGACTGGCATGACACTCACATACGACCCCACCACAGCTGCTATGCAAAATGGGTACGAGACAGCAAGAGCTGAGAAAGAGCCATTGTTATTGTAGTATTATTTATACACTGTTGTAGTATTTATTCGTATTTTGAATTAGCTTTTATTTTTATATTTTTTATTTTCATTTTAATTTTAGTTCATGTTTTAGTACTTACTATTATGTGCTTTGTTATTTATTTATTTTTGTTTGTTATTTCTATTTAGCTTTTATATATCTTATTAAATGCTTCTGCATTTCAATTTTTTTGTTTGATTATTTTAATTCAGCTTTATTTTAAATGTAATTTTAGTAGTTTATTTACATTTTTTAATTTTCAGTAATTTGATTAATTTGTAGTATTTTTATTTGGGAACATTCAGTCATTAAATTGTATATTTCCAACTCTATTTTATTTTATTTTTTATTATTTTATTTTATGTATTTGTTTGTTTTTAGTTGCCAAAGCAACAGTTCTAATTTTTATTTAAGTTTTAAACATTTTAAATATTTAGTTTCATTATTTTCAACTCTATTTTTTTTCTTTGAAGCTATTTTGATTTGATTTGATTTGATTTTTAGATGCCAAATCAACATTTCTAACTTTCATTTAAGTTTTTTTTTTAAGTTTTACATTTTTTGTTTCTTTATTTTCAACTCTATTTTTTCTTAAAGGATATATTTTATTTACTTTTTTTAATGTATTTCTGTTAGTTGCCAAGGCAACACATTTTTCTAAACTTTACATTTTTAATTTGATTATTTTCAGCTTTTTTTTTTTTTCCAATTAAAAAGAACAATTTTAGTTTTAATAGTTGTAGTTAACAATAACAACCCTAGAAAGAGATTTATCTGCAGATTTATACTGCAAATACTTGAAAATGCCCAGTTCACACACTAGTTCAAGTACTTAATACTTATTAATGCTTTTCAGTATGGAATGAATTATATTTATATAATTACATAACAAGATATCTTAGAAGGCAGCATAATCGTACTCAAGGTTATCATGCTATATTTACAACCTGTCATAAATGATTGCTTAAATATACCGATTTGATCTTTCTACAGATTCTATCCGACCGCCTACAGTATTACAAACAGAATGATCACACAGACCCCCATTTCTCCATACATCTCCCCTGTGTCCACATACCAGGTAACATAATATCAAACTCTACTGTTTACAGACCGATGGAGGTCTCCGAGATGGATGCATCAGAGCTGTCTTAGGGGACACTGATAATCTGTATTTTATTGTTCAGGTACAGAATCCATCCTGGGTCACCCATCAGCCCTACATCTTGCAGCATCCGGTGAGTCTCAGCACTGGCCGTCTCTGATTGTCCTGAGCAGTGTTTGTTTGTTTGTGTGGGAGAAATACACTTGAACTAGCTCATGACTGCTCATAGACTGAGAGTGTGGGCGACAGGCGCAGAGCGAGTCCAAACAGACATACTAAAGCAGAAACCACAGCAATTTATGGATTCATTCTGAGTAATCAGAATTAATCTTATGCCAAATAAAATTGTTAATAAGCTGGTAGATGGGCACAGTATTAAAGAATGTGCAAAGGTATGCATGCAGTCAGAATAAAGAGTCTGAAGTTTACATTTATAAAGAAATGTTTCTTTTTATTTGTACATGCCAGTATTGATATAATAACTGGCTATACTAATAATTATAATATGAATTATTTTATTTATTTATTTATTTTAATTATTTTTGTAATTTCTTATATTTTATTTTGTTTTGTTTTATTCATTTTATTTTAGTAGCAATAAAATAACTGGATATTTTGTAATTTCTTGTATTTTATTTTGTTTTGTTTTATTCATTTTATTTTAGTAGCAATAAAATAACTGGATATACTAATAACTGTAATATGTTTTATTTTATTTATTTCAATTTTATTTTATTATTTTATTTCAATTTTATTTTTGTGTTTTTTTTTATTGTGTTTTATTATTTTTTTGTCTTATTCATAATTTGAAATGTATTTATTTTATATGATAAAAATACCATAATAACAAAACTCATGGATGTGTCTTTAACTATAGGCTGTCGTATGGGAAATTAGGCAAATTTAAGTTTCTGTAACCTTAACAAATGTGCATTTGTAACATTACTGTGGAAAAAGTTGGACTATAATATTATTTTATTTTATTATTGTCATATGTATTTTGTAGTTAATATCAAAAACATAGGGAAAAAGTTAAATGACAAAAATACATAACAAAATTACTAAAACTTTAACCTTTAGTTTAACCTTAAACTTTAATTTTAAAAGTAAAGTGAAAATACAAAAATCAAATCAAATTCAAAATATTAACAGAAACTATTATAGTTTTTAATCAATGATATTAAAATAACATTGTTACAAAGAACAGACACCTTGATTTTAGTCGGATGTTTCATTCAGTAGTTTCATTGTTTGAGAAGCTGCTTTTAGAAGCAACATTGCCTATAGCAAAATGAAACAGTTGACATTTTATCATTGATAAGTGGCATGTGTTTCCTACTTCTGAAGGGCAGCCGTCACTGTTGTGCAGGAAACACTGGTGTGAGTGTGTGTGACATACATGCATTAACACTGAATCATACCCAGATGCTGGATTACAGTGTGTGTGTGTGTGTGTGTGTGTGTGTGTGTGTGTGTGTGTGTGTGTGTGTGTGTGTGAT